GCCAGGCCTTTCATATGCAAAAGCCTCTGGGCACAGCTTGGGTAGGGTGGGGTCTCAGGGAATCAACAGGGCAGAGCAAGCAGCTATGGCTGATCCTCAGCCCTGCCCTAAGGGGCCCCGAGTCTCAGTGTCCCGGTAATTGCTGCAAGCACCTCCGAGAGAAAGCCACCCTCGAGTTCCGAGTTCTGCCCGCTGCCAGACAGTCCATTCTCTCCCCGCACGAGTCCGGGTCCCCAGAGACTTTCCGGAACCAGAGTTCAGAGCAGTTGGAGGCTTGTGACTCCCTCCCGATTCAAAAAGACAGCTGCATCCTCAGGTGCCAGCCCCTTTTGCCCGCGCTCGAGCATCCGTACCTCTGCACTTTACTTCCACAGCTCCTCTGAGTCTCAGTGTGCTTTTCTCTTTCCTTCTAGTTGTAGAATTTCCACTCAGCCAGCCTTCCTGTGGTTCTGGATGATGTCCGTTTTGTCTTTTCGTAGTATTTTTGAAGTTGTTGTGGGAGGCAGCAATTTCCGGTGTTTACTTATGCCACCATCTTGGTTTCTCCCTGGTTTTGGTCTTTAAACCTGAGGCTTCAGCCCTAGCCGGTTGCTCAGTGGTTAGAGCGTTGGCCCTCCTAACCACTGAGCAACCAGCTGAAGGGTTTCGGGTTCAATTCCAGTCAAGGGCACGTACCTTGGGTTGCAGGCTCAATCTAAGACCCCAGAGTGTGTATGGGAGGGGGAGAGCAACTGATGTGTCCTTCTCACATCTATATTTCTCTCTCTGTCGCCCTCCCTTTCTCTCTCTCTAAAAATCAATGGGGAAAAATATCTTCCAGTGAGGATTAACATAAAAAACAAACAAAAAAAACCTGAGGCTTCAGAAGGATTTATTAAATTTTTCTGTTCTCTTTCCTGCTCTTATTGTGAATGTTTCATAAATATTCAAGCTGTGAGGGCAATCTGGCTGAAACATCTGTCACCCTGTTGATTGCCAAGGTTGGCTGGGTGTATTATGTCTTTTTGAGAATCTTCTGCTTGTGAAAAGGAAAGTCTTTCCCTGGCAGGAGGTGATCTTGTTTATGAAAGGTACATGGGAAACAGTTGTTCCAACCTGGGACAGAGGGGATTCCTAGGCCTTTTAGTGCTAAAACCTATAAAATCCCCAGCAAATCCCATCTTTCCCAGAGGAGACCCACCCTTTCCTCCTGGGGAGGGACAGAGATGCAGTCTCTCCCTTTGCCCTCTAGGATGGCACTGTCTCTCCTCCAGCTGGTCTCCTTTTAAATTTTAAATGTAGCCAGCGAAGAGTCTTTCCATCTCTCTTCTTTCCAAGAAAAAACAACCATCTTTTACTTGGCCCTGGTCATTCACAGGGTTCCATTAGGATGACCCACCCCTACCTTGCCCAGCCCTGACCCTGCTTCTCATGGTGATTCTTTTTTTTAAAATATATTTTATTGATTGTTTACAGAGAGGAAGGGAGAGGAATAGAGAGTTAGAAACATCGATGGGAGAGAAACATCGATCAGCTTCCCCCTACACACCCCCCACTGGGGATGTGGCCGAAACCAAGGCACACGCCCCCGACCAGAATCGAACCTGGGACCCTTCACTCCGCAGGCCAACACTCTATCCACTGAGCCAAACCGCCAGGGCTCTCATGGTGATTCTTACCTGACCTCCCTTACACAAGCCTTGGGGTATGAAGGGCCACTCACATGCTCAATTGCCCACCCCTTGATCCCTGTGGAGCTCATGATCTGCTATGTCATCTGACATAAAACCTCACTTGATGCATGGACACATTTCATTTGTTTTCTTTGTAGATGACACCAAAGGGTGTCAGCTGTGGGCAGTGGCTGTTTTAACTGTGGATACATTGGATTACTCTAATGTGGTCAAAGACCCCCAGCCACCATGCTCTCAGGTTGTGTTTTTTCCTATTTAACATCAGGAACCCATTACACCGTCACTGTCTCACTCTGAGGACGACAACTGGGGGCCAAAAGTCAACCTCAGTCAATGTCTGTGGAATGAATCCATGAGCCAGGCCTCAACCTTGCCCCTCCCTAACGTTCTCTCAATCCATTAATCTGCAGAGAGGAAATAATCCCAATAACATTAAGGGATGGAGACTCAGGGTTCTGATTGGATGTTAACATTTGAGAAGGTGTATAAAAACCTCAGGCACCAGAGGAGAGATTCAGAGTCCTCCAGCTCTGCAGTCAGTGCCGTGGTTCTCCAACAGGTCTGAGATCTGAGCCCCAGCCAACCCAGTCACATCAGAAGTTTCTGCGGGATTCCTTTCTGAGCACCTTGAAGATGAGCATCCGGACCCCACCCACACTCCTGTGGCGGACCCCACCACTCCTGTGGCTGGCGGGAGAGAGCCTGCTGAGGGACCAGGCCTCGGCCATCGCAGCTCTGGAGTACCTGCCTGCTAAGCAGCTCCCGCTGCTGTTCATTCAGGCCTGCCGTCGGAGAATCCCGGAGCCCCTGACGGCCATGGTGCAAGCCTGGCCCTTCCCTGTCCTCCCTCTGGGGAGCCTGATGAGGCTGCCTCCGGTCATGGTCTTACAAGCCGTGTTTGAGGGGCTTGGCTTTCTGCTTGACCAACAGGTTTGCCCCCGGAGGTGGAAACTGCGGGTGCTGGATTTAAGGAACACGGGTGCCAACTTCTGGAGAATGTGGTGTGGAGACAGCACCCGGAATTGCTCACCGATGGGACCAGTGGCTGTGCAGAGCTCCAGCCCCAACATGGAGCACTCCTTGGCTCCCTTGGAAGTGTTCCTAGACCTTAACTTCAGTGAAATGGATGGGGTTAAGTTTTTCATGTACATCATCCAATGGGCCCAGCAGAAGGAAGGGTTGGTACACCTGTGCTGCAAGGCGCTGAGGATTTATGAGGTGCCCTTCCGGAGGGTCAGGAGGGTCCTGGATGGGGTGCAGCTGGACTGCATCCAGGAGGTGGAAGTGAACTGCACCTGGGACCTGCCCACCCTGGGGACATTTGCTCGCTACCTGGGTCAGATGAGTAACCTGCAGAGTCTCGCTCTCTGTCACATCAAGGTGTTAGCTGAGGGGGAGAATGAGGAGGAGGAAATGGAGGAGGAGGAGGAAGTGCAGGAGGAGGAAGAGCAAGAGGAACAGAAGGAAAAGAAGCAGGCCTTGGAGGAGGAATATTTGTGGGAGAGGGAGGAAAAGGAGCAGCAGTGGAAGGACGAAGAGGAGTGGGAGAGGGAGGAGCAGGAGTGGGAGGAGGAAGAGGAGAGGGAAAGGGAGGAGCAGGAGGAGCAAGGATACTTTTCCCAATTCCTCTCCCAGATGCAGAAGCTGAAGCACCTCAAGAAGCTCTACTTGGACTCTCCCTCCTTCCTCCAAGACCGTCTGGACCAGATGCTCAGGTGCCTGCAGACCCCCTTGGACAAACTCTCCATATGGGATTGCTGGCAGCTGACGCAATCAGACTTGACACGCCTGTTCCAGTGCCCCAACCTCAGGCAGCTGAAGTCCCTGTGTCTCTATGGCGCCAACCTCACTGATTTTAGTCCCGAGCCCCTCCGAGCTCTGCTGGAGGCAGTGGCACCCACCCTCCAGGACCTGCGCCTGGATAACTGTGCGATGGTGGACTCCCAAGTCGAGGCCATCCTGCCTGTCCTGAGCCGCTGCCACCAGCTCAGGGACTTCACCATCACTGAGAACCCCCTCTCCGTGGCCACCATAAAGCAGCTGCTGCGCCACACAGCCGGGCTGCACAGTTTAGAGCTCGAGCGGTACCCTGTCCCCCTGGAGTGTTACAGGACCCACGAGACTGTGGACCAGGAGAGAGTTGCCCTGATCCGGGCTGAGCTCACGGGGATACTGAGGGAGTTAGGACAACCCAGGACCATCCGTCTTGTCACCAAGTGCTTTAGCTCTGGGGACTTTTATGACGTGGCATTTTCATGACATGGAGCCCGTGATGTGCCCCTGTAGTGACCCTGCTCACCAGGTGCACCTAACAAGGGCTTCCTTCTGGGCCCCTGGAATCTGAAACCTCGGACCGGGGTGCAGTGTGCGGGGCCACTCACGTTTCATGTTCATGCTCAGTGTGAATGGGGAAAGGGAGGGACCCAGCCCGGGTACAGGATTGCAGGGACAAAGGTTGGGGAGTTCATGGGACCTCAAAGGCAAAGTGTCCTACTATCAGAATATTCTGCCTATTTCTGGAAATTGTCTGCTGATGAGCTAATCTGTGTGTCCTTGAAATCTCCTTACCTAAGGGCTACTCCAGATCAATAAAAGGTTGGAGAGCCTGAGCATCAGTGGAAGTCCTTCTGGACTTGCCCACCTGGTCCCCCAATATTTCAAAATTATCTCGTGTCATTTCTCTCTCATTTGTGTGCGGCTCCTCTTTTCAGATCCCGAACCCTAATCCACGCAGGACGTGGAAGGAAACACACAGGACAACATGGAGCCCGTGATGTGCCCCTGTAGTGACCCTGCTCACCGGGTGCACCTAACGAGGGCTTCCTTCTGGGCCCCTGGGACCTGAAACCTCGGACTGGGGTGCAGTATGCGGGGGCACTCACGTTTCATGTTCATGCTCAGTGTGAATGGGGAAAGGGACGGACCCAGCCCGGGTACAGGATTGCAGGGACAAAGGTTGGGGAGTTCATGGGATCTAAAAACAAAGTGTCCTACAATCAGAAACATGAATCTGATTTGCTTGAGGAGGGGGTGGGGATTTAGGCTCGAGGTGCATCTGTGGGAGTTAATTCTGGGGTGGAGGGTTGTAAAGGAATGTTCAGAAATAAAGACAATTTCAAAGGCCAAAAAAAATAAAATAAAATAAAATCTCCAGCAAATTGGGATGAACTGGTCACTCTAGTAGTGAGCTATGCTCCCTTACTAGCCTGCCCAAGCACGTTCTCAATTATTGATGACAGATAATAATGTATCGACGTTCAATGATGTTTCAAAGGTATGGAAACTATTCTTGGAAGACAACAACTGGCTTTAACGGCTTTCAATACTATCTCATCAATACATGAAACTATACACGGTACTGAACACTAAAAGTTGGTTTTTAGACTACTACTCAAAGGCAGCCAATCGATGATCCTCTTTCATCATTGATGTTTCAATCTCTTCCTCCCTCCCCCTGCCTCTCTGGAATCAATAAAAAAAATTTTTTTAAACTGAAGAAACATTAAGTTTCCTCAGTAACACATTACTTATAAAAGCATTACTCATTAAGGAAATATATTCCCTAAAAAAGATGCCTATGTGAGCCTTTGATCTGTTGCCTCCAAAAAATAAGCAAACAAATGCCATCAGAGACCCAAGGCCGTGCTCTTTCTGACGCCAAGCAGAGGTGATTTATTCTGAGTGAATGCTATCTCTGGAGACAAAGACGTGCTACCGTTTCAGAGGTGCTTCTAGGTTCCCTACGTCTGAGGCAGCTGGAGGGGAAGCTGGACTGTAGCTGCATCCACACTATGGACAGCTCACCCGTTCGTGTCAGTGAAGAGGAGCAGGGCTGGCGGGCGTCCTGACTTCAGCAGCACCACAGCACTGGGCATCCAGTGGCCCAGATGCAGGTGACGAAGGGAAGCCAGGATCATCTCTGGAAGAAAGGAATGCAGGTGGATGCAGCCAATACTGTTATCAGTATTGCTCCTGTGTCTTTGAAAAAACAGTGTCCCAGGTGAAAGGTATCGAGGAAGAAAGAGAGAAAGTGCCCTCAGTGCTGGTCTTCTGTTTTAGTAGATTCAGTTCACATCACCTGCAGGCAAACATCTGTCTGGATCAACAGCAACTTAGGGAAAACAAAGCAGGTTGTTTTCATTTTCAGTTTGTATACTTTGGTTCCCCTTTGCAGGGAAAGTTCTTTAATAAGATGCTTGATCCTCTACTCAATAAACTCTCCAGCTGCGGTCCTCGGCAGACAAAGAAATGAGGTTAGGAGTTAAATCCCCTTAATCCAACACAATATCATTATCATTTGAATATATTTAATGACTTGGCAAAATAATATGCTTAATGAGAACAAAGATGATTAATTTAATTTTAATCACACATCTGTAGAATTTTGCCTTTATCTCGTGGTTCCTTTTTTATTATTATTATTATTAGTTAAGGTATTACAAATGTGTCCTCATTCCCCCCCCATTAGCCCCCAACCTCCCCGCACCCCTGCACACTGATGCTCCCATCCCCCTGTTGTCCATGTCCATTGGTTTGGCTAATATGCGTGTATACAAGTCCTTCGGTTGATCTCTTCCCCTTACCCCCTCTCTCCCCTACTTTCCTTCTAGGGATTGATAGCTTGATCGCTGTTTCTCAGTCTTTGGATCTGTCCCTTTTCATCAGTCTATGTTGTTCTCTATAATCCACAAATGAGTGAGATCATGTGGTATTTATCTTTCTCTGACTGGCTTATTTCACTTAGCATAATGCTCTCCAGTTCCATCCATGCTGTTGCAAAAGGCAAGAGTTCCTTCTTTTTTAC